CCCCCCCCCCCCCAACAAAAAAAAACATCAACGCTTTGAATTCACTGCAAGCCTAATTTCATGTTTGCAGATAGACCTCAAGTCTAAAGTTCTGACTTAGCTCAGTGATTTTTTTTTAAACTCTTTTATCCTTAGGGGGTCTATTTGTTAAAAAAAATTACCTCCTTCTCTAAGGTAAATTAGTCAAAAAGAAAACTAGCTCAGGGGATCTATCTGCAAAAATAAAACTAGGCTAGTAAGTCCAAAACAAAGATAATACAGGGGGAATATCCACAATTAACTTTGATTAGAACAAAGCAACTATATGGGAATACCATTGGGAGCCAAATAACAGTCTCATATAGAGTTGTTGAAACTTAGGGAGTCTATCAGATATATCCAACTATATAAGCCATTAAAATAAACATTAGGATATACTAATATAGGGATAAAGACTTAGTACTGCACAAACATTACTTGCCAGTTACTCAAGTCAAGCACAGATCATCATGAGACTAGCGACTTCAGTAAAGCATGTCGGAACTCTTATCATCACAGCGAGAGTTTAATATTCAATCTAACAGCATGAAAATATTGTATTCATTTAGTTATGGTTTTCATTATGGTTTGATCTCTTTTTCTGAGACAACTATCCTGTGAAATGTCAACCTCCATCCTGCTACACATAATGAGAAGAGAAGAGGTCAAACATGGTTTGATTTCTTCGTATTGCAATATGTACCTATCTGACTCTCTTCAGTTTACTGGCCCACCCATGGTCTCCATCTCGTGCACAATCATTTCAATCATAGACATCATCATATTCCTTTGAACTGCTTCTATCAAAGCTCACTCAAGCAAACCCATTTTTGCAGACCTTCGAAGATGACACCATCAGGACAACTTGATCCTCAATCCCCAGGAAGACCAAAATAGGGCTTATATATGACACCATTGACAGGTAAAGAGAAGCATGAAGCGCTTACACCTGCCAGCTCATTCAGAGAGCAAGTGATAGGTGTTGTGCTTATCAGGCAGATGATAGAACATATTTCAGCATAGTGGTATGAAGTGAAAAGAAGTAGCAGAGAAATCGACATTTATGCATAAAGATTTTTAGATTATCTTACACTAGTTAAACAAATCTATTCCTGAAATGCAGCAACACGTCAGGACCCACTAGTAATCAGCAATACATTTCATTTTAGCCGCAAAAGAGATTATAGGGCTCTTGAAAATATAAGGAAATTTAATGAAGAAAAAGAATAGGAGCACAAAATAATATGACAGCATTACTCCTGAATTCCTTCCTGAAAAAAATATCTAAACCCAGTTGTCTCATAAATACCAAACAGACAGCACAATTTTAATTCCTGCAGAAATTTCTAACATCTGCTGGAAGAAATACGAATAAGTCGAAGAGAACTAACCGCCAAAAATTGCAATGGTGCCACGGGGTTTACTTTTTGATCCAGTTGTTTAAAAAGATCACGAGTCATACAAGTCAAATAATGTGTGTACTGATCCATATCATCATTCTTTACATTTGCATAGCTGTTTGCAAGAGATAAACAAACTCAAAAATAAGTCAATAGAAACGCTAATAATCAATTAGAGAAGACATTAAGACCTTCTGATATGCCAGCAAAAGAGGAACTCACTGAAGTAATGCTGACTTCAACTCTGGGACCGAATGAAGGCATTGCAATGTGGAGTTCATATAGCAGGTGTTTCCCAAGTTGAAGAGACCAGCACTATGCCCCTAAAGAAATAAACAAAACAGTAAATGTGATATGTCAGCTGTATTTAATTTTAATAGACGGACCAGAAAGAACTTTTAACAGATGCAACCAAACAGTTCAATATACTATCATTTAACAGGTCTCAATGCGAATCAAATAATATACATCCGTCCATCTTACAGAAACCACATGTGCAGCGATTTATCCATACAAGTATATATAACAGACCAGTGACAGATAAAGTTCTCTCCAAGCTTCTCTATAATAAATACCCCCCAACAAAAAAAAACATCAACGCTTTGAATTCACTGCAAGCCTAATTTCATGTTTGCAGATAGACCTCAAGTCTAAAGTTCTGACTTAGCTCAGTGATTTTTTTTTAAACTCTTTTATCCTTAGGGGGTCTATTTCCCCCCCCCCCCCCCCCAACAAAAAAAAACATCAACGCTTTGAATTCACTGCAAGCCTAATTTCATGTTTGCAGATAGACCTCAAGTCTAAAGTTCTGACTTAGCTCAGTGATTTTTTTTTAAACTCTTTTATCCTTAGGGGGTCTATTTGTTAAAAAAAATTACCTCCTTCTCTAAGGTAAATTAGTCAAAAAGAAAACTAGCTCAGGGGATCTATCTGCAAAAATAAAACTAGGCTAGTAAGTCCAAAACAAAGATAATACAGGGGGAATATCCACAATTAACTTTGATTAGAACAAAGCAACTATATGGGAATACCATTGGGAGCCAAATAACAGTCTCATATAGAGTTGTTGAAACTTAGGGAGTCTATCAGATATATCCAACTATATAAGCCATTAAAATGATTGGATTGTCAGGAAACTAAAAGCAAAGTCATGCTAATAAACCGTAAGAATAATAAGGCTCACCACGGCAACTGCTTGCTTTTCTTCTGGGAGGTCCTCCATAAATACAGGACCTTTTTCTGGAGCTTCCACGACTTCCTCTGCAGTACCCATCATCATCAACTTTTGACCCTATCAAAACCAAATCGTCTTTACATTCAACTGGAAAATCAAATATCAGAATAGAAGATCAGAAAGTCAAAACTATACAAAATAATGTCACCTCTTTTATACCTAAGGTCGACCAGTCTGCATCATCCTGTATTAGGACAATAAACAGTTAGTAGATATATAATTGTACTTTCCACCAAATTTAAGCCATGTCAAAAGGAGATATCTGAAATAATGAGCATATCATACTTTCAACAGGCCACCCTTAAGCATGATCTTTTGCCGTTCAGGAGGTACACCAGTTAAATCATATAACTGGCACTTGAAAACAAGAGGGGGTTGACTCGTATCAATCTCAACAGCTGGAAACACTTGCTTCTGCCATTTCACACTAACTGTGAAATTGTACACACAGATCCAATAAGTCAGAAAAGATGTTAATACTATAAGCTCTGGAAGTTCAAGAATTACTTCCAAAATATAATTAATAAAGCATTCAATATTAAATGGAGAGAAAAAATAGGAGTAAGATGTTATAATCAAAAAGTCCGAAAGTAAGGAGCACAAATAGCCTAACAACTTGAAATGAAAAACCAACAATTAGTCTTTTACAATTTATGCCTAATAAATAGCGCAGTTTGCATCATCTACTGGGCGAGATCAGAAAATTTATGCAAGCTGGAGATATTTATAGCAAAATAACGTTCTGTGTTGATTTTGACAAATTACTGAAGATGAAACTTGTTGACATTCACCCTCATGCGGAGTTGCCACAATATGATGTCACGTTCCATTAAATGCAAATTTCCACCAAAGTATTTTTTTCCGTCCAATAAAATATTGGGATATAAGGTAGGTAAATTTAGGACAGAAATAAAGATGATATGTGAATATTAAACAGGAAATTGGTGGTTAGTTTAGACAGGCTACTCTATACTACTCTATTTGTACCTTGTCTGGACAAAAGGACTTGCTCTATCTTGCTTCTTCAAACTTAATACTGCAATCTATTATGTAGATCAGGAAACATTCTCTTTTAGGTTTTAAGAATCATCATAATAAGAAAACAACTTCTCAAACATGGAAAATGTTCAATTCTAGTCTTCGTCCCAAAGTAGGCAGAACCACCATCCAATGCATGCTGCTATTTCAGTTAAGACGAGAAGCGTGTTATTCATTGTTAGATATTATTGATGAATTTAAGAGAGATTATGAGATATTGTTGAGATATTGTAAGATGTGATTAGATATGATTTTATCTCATACCTATTTTGTAATATCCTCTTGATATCTATTTAAGAGAGGTTAGGATTAGATGAATAATGATATTTTGCCTTTCCTATTTTCTCTACATGGTATTAGAGCCTACTTGATCCTACTGAACTTCTCCAATCTTTTAAATCTCAAAGCCATCGAGGGGGTTTTCCATGGCCTTCATGCTCCTCTTGACGGCTTTGATGGCATTGAGGGCTTCAACAACATCAACAATAACTTCAGCATCATTGTTTTCTAGATCTTATCAAACACCCCCCAAAAAATAATCTAATTTTTTTTAAAAAAAACATCTAATATTCACGTGATGAACGGTATTGATGTTACTACTCATGTGATGAACAGTAATCAGAGTTACTATTAACTCTTTGGCATCTTTTGTAGTTATATGTAATGACAACAGTTCTCGTTCGGTGCTATTTCCACTGGCTCTCGGCCTAGGCAGATTTCTAGCGTACGCCTATGGTTTCTACTAACTGACCCGCCTAGAGTTTTACCAATTTACTCGCCTAGGATTTTCATTGGCTGATCCGCTTAGGGTTTCTTCTACTGTCTTATTTACCTAAAATTTCTACTGACTATGACTACAATATTTTGATTGCTAACATCTTTTAAGTATTTCAGACAAGATGGCATTAAGCTCTTGCAACTAGCTATGTTGTTCCCATTAGTAACAAGTTAGGCATATATAGTATATATAGTCCAGCTTGAAGGGGAATGTTAGATATTTATGATAATTTGATATTAGTAGATTTAGTAAATATTATGAGACATTGTTGAGATATTGTGAGTTGTGATTAGAAATGATTTTGACTTATATCTATTTTGTAATATCCTCCTAATCTCTATTTTAAAATTAAGAGAGGTTAGGGTTAGGTGACTAATGATCTTTTGTCTTTTCTATTTTTTCTACATTCTTGAAAATTTATAAGATCTCTATTAGATTAATATTATCCATGCAAAATTCAACCCCCTGTGGCTAATCACCTGAACCGAAATCTTGCATATCAGAGATGAAGACTAAATAACAATTGCTACAATGAATTTTTAGCTAGCCTTTGAGATCTATAGGAAAGGATATTCCACAAACAACCACTTTGTAAGCGGGTTTTGACATGTCCAGATCATGATAAATGGTTGAGGATGATCCCAATGATCCAAACCAAACGTGCAAGTAACCAATAGCTTGCTGACCCATATGTGTTCAATTTTGATGGTCAAAGGTAGAAACTAACCATTGTTTCATTTCCAATTCTATCAACCTTAAATGATGCCCATTTAGATGGTCCAATTAGAATTACAATTTGGTTATCCCGTTACTGGATTTGGTTGGGAATGACTTGTTCTAAATCCTTCTAATTTAAATATAAATTAATTAACAGTAGTTTTCTAACATGTTTTACATTTTGTAGCCGTTTCAGGGATATTACGAGCCTCGTCATAAGATTTGACATGGATATCAAGTTTGGAACTATTTATATTTATTCACATCAGTGTTTTCAAAAGCGCGTGCCTCATGCGCCTTACAATACGGGGCGGTGGCGAAGCGCCCCACATCTGATGCAACATCTTTTGCGCCTCGCGTACATCCGTACTTTGTGTAGGATGCATGTAGTACATTTTCTCATATAGTTTTGTTTGTTAACATTTCAATCGAGTCTTTATACTTGATATTCCATATCCCAAAAAGCAAAATAAATTCATTGGGCCTTTTTAATAACCTTCAATTGAGGACCATTACTAATCCTTTATTTGGATATTAGTCTTGATTTAACATTTGATTTGAAAATTTATAAAATTTGCTACTATGTTGGGTGTTAGCATTAGAAATTAAGACAATATATTGTGATTTTGTAGTAAGATATTATTTATCATGATATTTTTCATGTAAATTCTAAAAACATGATTGTGATTTTGTAGTAAGATATTATTTATCATGATATTTTTCATGTAAATTCTAAAAACATGTTCTTTCGCGCTTGATTACATATGATATTTTTCATGTAAATTCTAAAAACATGTTCTTTCGCGCTTGATTACATATATTGAAATATTATGTGCGGTGTGCGCCTCACATCACTCGGGCACGCGCATCGCGTTGCGCCTTGCGCATGTACGCGTAAAGATGCTTTGTGCCCCGCATTGTGACTCGCGTATTGACAACACTGATTCACATTCTTTTGGTGTTCCTTTGGTGTTCTCGGTCATGACTCATGAGGGTACTAGGAGACTAGTTTACATATCTATACTATTACATAAAAAAACTTTGTTCATGCTACAATAAATTTATCCTCTAATTCTCATCCAACTCACTTCTATCATTTTCCTCTATTCTCTACTCACATTTTTGTCCTTTTCTCTATTCCCTCTTGCTCACATAACCAAATATAAAAGAGTACTTTTTGCAAAGAAGCCCTCCTCTAGAATTGCAATTTCGCTTTAAGCTTGTGGGATGATTTTCTGGAATGTATCTCACTATGCTTTAAAAGGGTAGAGATGACTAAGTTTAAAAAATGTTATATGAGACCTAGATTAAATAATTTGATATTAGATCCCCAAGTTTAATATCACCAATTTAGAACATAAAATTTTCAAATATTATTGCAAACTAGACATTTTTGTTAGAATTTACATCCTTAAATCAATTAAATTATTTTTCTACTAAATTCCAACTTGAGAGAAAAAGGACATACAAGAAAAAAGTAACCAGTTAAGTCTTTAATCTCTGTAGACATAGTCATGCATATTCCCTTAACTTATTTTTATAAAAAACCTGATAAATTTTAATTTGAAAAAAAAGAGAAATTTTTAATTAGGTTTTTTGTGAATCATATTATTTGCATTGTTATTATTATTTTCCTTGCACGTGCATAGATGCTAGTTCAATATAACTTTTTTTACTACTAGTGATCCTTCCAACTCCAACTCGTCCTACAAAAAATAAACTGAAAAAGAACAAATCATGCACCCAAGCATTAAGAAAGAGAAAAAATATCCAGAAACACACCTTCTCCATGGGCTCCATGGGAAGACCTTGTAGTTAGGGCATGTCTAGTTGGTCAAAAAATAGAACAAAAACCCATAAAGAAGACCTTGGAGCTAGCGCTTATCTGGTTGCTCAAAAAAATAGAAGAAGAACCCCACAAAGAAAACTGATATTGCAGGAAACCCCAAAAAATAGTCATTGCCTTAAAATTCATGTATTTGGATCGCAAAAGAAAAGATGAAATATTTGAAGGAAACGTGTGCCAACTCGTCCCAAGCGAAAAACGTTTTTACTCTTTTAAAGCACCGATTTCGGCTGAAAACATCATTTATCCGCTTAAAATTTTTCTTCTTCCTTTTGGGTTTCTGGCTTCGAAGGGGGAAAATGGTAGGGTTTACTCTCACCACAGCCTTCCCTCCATTTTCTCCGGCCTCCATAGTGAAAAATCCCTACAAAAACTATAGGGGAAATGATGTTTTCGAGTCAAAATGACTTCAATCTTGATTGATGTTGTTGTGGTTGTTAGGAGGCTTTGTAATTGGATGGTATGGGTGCTTCGATCTTGTTGTATAGCTAAAAAATTGTTGCTTTGCTTCTGACCTTTTCTGAAACCCTTAATTCAAAAGCTCCTTCAACAATTCGATCTTGCTCAAAGGTAATGCTAAGCCCCTACTACCAATTTTTTTCTTTGCGAAAATGCTTTTTAATGATGCTCAATTTCATGGCTAACTACATGTTGTATATTACATCCAATTTCATGTTTTCTTTTGTTCTTTGGCTCACTACGTGTCATGTAATGCATCTAATTTCATGATCTCATGAGTTAGGTAGTTGTTTTGCAAGATTTTTTGGCTCACTACACGTCAAATATGTTACAAGATTTTTTTTAAATAATGCAAGCTGTTATTTTGACTTTATATGTGCATGTTTCTTTGCATGTTTATAAAAATAATTAAATAAAATAAAAAATGATGATATTTAATTTTAGACGTTAAAGATGAATGTGCTTTGGAATTGTGATTAAAAATTTTAATTTGCATGTAATAGGGGTTGAATTGGCTTGTGAAAATTTGAAGATAGAATATAATTGAGTTGTATATAGATGTGTCGAATCTACGAAATCCTTGTTAGTAATATACGTTAAGATACTAAATGGTGACTTTCATCATATCATGATAAGTTTTAAGTTGCAGTTCATGCCCTTTCTTGTAGGTATAGGAATTTATCATTTCTCTACATTATGACAAGGTTCCCTGATTTGTGCAGAAATTTCAGAGCAACTTTTTGAGACTTAAATTGATTTGGGTAGTGTTTTAGATGATTTAAGTTTTTGGTACTAGGTTGTACGTTTTAGATGAAGTGGATGTAAATGAGGAATAAATCTTGTTAGCTGTAGATGCTAGTTAAGTTGTATGTGTTGTAACAGTTATTTGCACATGAATTTGTTCTATTCCTAATGCCTAATTAAAGCTATTTTGGTTATTGGTTATATATGGTAGCCATGCGATTTGGTATAATTCTATCCCTTGAGCATTAGGTTCCCTTGAGCATCAACTTTCATTAATTTTAGGGTACTGTATCAAGTTCCTTCCAGCACCATGTTTCATTAATTTTAGTTTTTTGAGATGAATTTGGTTCAAGCTATTTCAGGGTATGCATTTTTATTTTGTTCTTATCAATTTTCTTCTTTTCAAGCATGATTTTCAGCTAGTTTTAGCATTAGAGTTGGCATCTAATGCGAGTGCTTATGATGGTTTATATGTTTGCATCATATTTAAGAATTTGGGTTTATAAAGTTGACATTGGATTTTGGTTTTAATGTTGGCATCAATTCTTAGTTGGTTTCAAGTTTAAGCTTGTGATTTTCAACCAGATTTCATGTTCTTCATACATGCTCTTTTGTGAATAGTCTCTTGTTGGATCAAAAATTATTTGGCTTTGCTTTTAGTGTTCTCTTGTGGGAACTGATTGCGATGTGCAGTTTTCTTATTTATTTTATTAGCAGGAAATGTAGTTCAATTACTTCAGTATCTTGTTAGTCATCTTATTGGTTTTGTTTGAATGATGAATTTAAATGATATGGGTTTGGTTGGAACCACGAATTTTACCATTTTTGCTAAAATCGAGATGCTTCAGAATCCCAGTGTCAAATAACCATTTCAATGGGAAGTTATCTCTTGAAGTTGGGCTCATAGGTTCGCTGTAATTTCTCTCTCAAGTAATTCATTTGATGGGTCGATACCTTATGAGTTGACAAAGATGGCAAATTTCGTATTGGTTTTTGGTTATATAAGAACATCTTTATCACTTCTTGTTATTGGTGTTAGCTGTTATCATTTTAGGAGATCGCTAATTTCATTCTTTTCCATTGCTTTTATGAATTTGTTAACAGAGTTGTTATCATTATTTGATATTAGTTGGTTGAAATGGTTGTTATGATACTGGTTATATGAGATAGTGCTATGATGATGGTCTTTTTTTTTGTATGCAACTAAAGTTTATGCTAGAAATCTATTAGCAAGATAACACATACAGCCAACATTGCTACTATAGATTTCATGGTGAGGCATACTATGAATATGTTGACCAAAACTGAGCATAAAAGAATATTTTTTCTCTATGTTCAGGGTTAATATTATGTCCTCAAATTTAAATTTTTAGATGTTCTAATATTTCTCCCTCAAATATTCATATTTTGAAATTAGTCCCTCAAATCTTTAAATATTTTGTAAATTACTACCAAAAATCTTTAAACATTTTTTTCAAATTAGTCCCTCACATCTCCAAACATTTTTGTGTGATTGTATGTCCACCCTTGAATTTATTTTGGCAACAATTTTGTCCTATACGGTTGGTAAGCACACACCATGGTGACCACAATCATAGTTTCTTCTTTTTTTTAGTTTGAACCAAACACTAGATAATGAGGGAATCTATTCACACATTAATTATTTCCTTCTATTTTCAATTTGAACCAAACTAAGGAAAATGGTGGAAATTACTTATACCCAATGTTTTCTAGCAAAACAAATACAATAAACACTTTTTCATGAAAGTGAAGAAACACCAAAATTTTTCTTATAATTATGGAGAACAACCAAACAAGCTCTTACTGTTAGGTCGATTTCCCATTTTTGTCATCTTTAGAAAGGAACTTTCCTCTTTTTGTTGCCAACCAAACAGCAAAAAAGTAAACCTCTTTTATGGGGCTGATGTGGCATTTCTTGGAAATGCCTTTTCTGAAGTTGCCATGCGAGCAAAACAACGACAAAGTTATGTTGTTTCTATCAACAACCAGGAAAGTATTAAAACTGGTCTACTTTCGGGATAAACTGATATTTCAAAGGATCATAAAAGGGCACGGATGTATCTCATATTAAGCAAATAAACAAACCCAAGTGAACTAAAACTTTATCTCCAATGCAGACATGCACAATCCAAGCACAGATGAATAATATAAAGAGTGTTTCATTTTTCTAATACGTTAGAGTCAGGCAAGGTATTGTAAGGCCAACGCACAGTTCCAAGGAGCAATGCCAAGATCGTGGTCCTTTGAAATGTAGTTACAAAGGCTCTATTTTCGTCCACGTAAGCTGGTACTCAGTGTTGTGACCATAAAAGAACAATGAAAAAGGACTTTCAAACAATTAAAGAGATAAAAGGCATATTTCCCCTATAACCTTGAATCCCATTAATCAACTAGGGTTTCATAATTCATTCAAATCACCATTTCATCGTAACCACCACAAAGCTACAGCAAATTATAAGAAAAATCAACATAATTCAATCAAACCCCAAAAAACCCTAGATATTACGAACGCGAACATCAATCACAAAGTACAGCGACAAATCGATAGATTAACAAAACAAAATCCCTAAAAATCTGCACTCTAATCGATGAGATGAACGAACGGATCGTAATTCAAAAACTAGGGCATAAATTAAAGGGAGCAGGATTCATACCAGTAGGCATCTTTGACGAGGGCGGAAGCGAGCGAGATATTGATTGCTTGAAGAAGAGGGAAGAAGATTCTATCGGCTCTTTTGCGACTTCAGGAAATGAAAAACCTCGGGTTCGGGTACAAATAGATCGAGTCGGCGTGAAAATGAACAGGGAAGCTTTCTTTTAGGGTTTCTTGGGCCTAAAATATTATGGGCCTTTTCTCTTTTACTACTATGGGCTGAAAAGACTAAATTAGGCTGAGCCCAAACATATTTGACAATCTACTTATTTTAACTTTTAACTTATAAGTAAGTTTTTACTTACAACAATTGAATATCATATTGGGTAAAGCTTTATCTATTTACTTTTTTTTTTAAGTTATAAGTAGGGGAAAATTGTAAGTTGAGATCTTCCAACTTATTTTCTGGAGACTTATAAGTATATTTATTTATTCTTCATATTATAAGACTATTTTGCCCTAAAAATGAGTAAAAATAAGTAATGCATAAGATTTCTCAAAATAAGGATTAGCCGAACATGCCCTTAGCTCTACTGATTTTTAATTACCAAAATTTCACAAAAGTTTGCAAAATTGTGAAAAAGAAATTTTAGAGATTCTCTACATTCTTAGTTGATTATAAAGAACTTTTATAACTTATCAATGAAATCTATTCACTCTCCGAATGCAAGAATAGTATTATTTACATATAGCTTACATAAAAAGATCATTTTAACCATGGGACTGTTAGATCTGAATAATAAAACTTGAGATCTAAACCATAAAGCCATGATTTAATTCAAAGAGATTAACAAGAATCAAAAGGTGCGGAAGCATATACCTGAATCCATTAAAGAAAACTTGATTAGGGTTTTGATGATCTTCTAATCTTAGGGTTTCTTTCTTATGGATCTCTTTAGATGAGGATAAGAGAATGAGAGTGGCTAACACTAGATTAGGGACCATAACCCCATATATATATAGGTGTTGTACATTTATAATTTGGCCCCTCATCAAATTACAGTTACAACCTGGTATCTGCACATATAACCCCATGACTTATTTAAATACTCATTAACCCAAATTAATTGATCACTTTAGTGGGTTATCCTGAAAGATAGCAATACACATTGATTAATCATATGTGCCCACAAATAGATTTATTAGATTAAATCCAACAATCTCCCACTTGGGCACCATATGATTCCTTAAATTGTGTATAACCTTATAAGCTCAAAAACTGCTATCACTGAAGAAATGTATTTCCGAACAATCTCGTCCATTGACTATATCAATATAGGATCAAAGCGGCATTCGTCACATTTATCGTAACTAAATCTATCAATGGTCACATATACCAATACAATCAAATGACATAGATCAAACATGAATGTGCAGCATGAAAATTACATGCAATGTGATCAGTACATGTCTATTTTCAACTGGTCCTCCTTTAGTGAGGTCAAAACCAAACATAATATAACAGAGTGTCTTAACTGAATACTTTATTCTGATCAGACAATACAACCAAACATAAAGCACCACAATTACAAACTCCCACTAAATCATGATATCCTCAAATAATACCACACCCATATGAGCAGTATGCTCATGAAAGACCTTGGGTGGTAATCTCTTAGTAAGAGGATCAGCGATTATGGAGTTTGTCCCAATATGCTCTATGGATATTTGTCCACTCTGTACCCTTTCTTTCACAACCAGGAACTTAATATCAATATGTTTTGACTTAGTCAAGCTCCTGTTGTTATTGGAATACATTACTGCAGATTTATTGTCACAATATAACGTTAGTGGTCTTTCCATATTTTCCATACGCAGTCCCGTGACAAAGTTTCGCAGCCATATTCCCTGATTGGATGCCTCATAGCAAGCTACAAATTCTGCAGCCATATTCCCTGATTGGATGCCTCATAGCAAGCTACAAATTCTGCTACCATAGTGGAGGAAGCTACGAGTGTTTGTTTAACACTTTTCCATGATATAGCTCCTCTTGCTAACATATAAATGTAGCCTGATGTAGACTTTCTGCTATCTTGGCATCCAGCAAAATCAGAATCAGAGTACCCAATGACCTCCAACTGATCTGATTTTCTGTATGTAAGCATATAATCTTTTGTTTCTGAAGATACCTCATAACCCTTTTGACTGCTATCCAGTGATCCATACCAGGATTGCTTAAGTATCTGCCTAACATCCCAACAATGTACGCAATATCCGGACGCGTACATACCTGAGCATACATTAGACTTCCTACAGCCGAAGCATAAGGAATCTTCTGCATTTCCTGAATTTTAAGATTACCTTTAGGGCACTGATTGAGACTAAACTTGTCTCCTTTAGCAACAGGGGTGTCACCTGGTCTGCAATCTTGCATGCCAAACCTTTTAAGTACCTTATCGATATAGCTCTTTTGTGATAATCCAAGAATACCCCGAGAGCGATCTCGATGTATCTGGATCCCTAATATAAAAGAGGCGTCCCCAAGATCTTTCATCTCAAAATTCTTTGATAGAAATCTCTTGGTTTCGTGCAACATGCTTATATCATTAGTGGCAAGCAATATGTCATCGACATACAGAACCAGAAAAATATACTTACTCCCACTGAACTTGTGATATACACAGTCATCAACAATGTTCATCTCAAAACCGAACGAGATAATTATTTGTTGAAACTTATGATACCATTGACGAGGAGCTTGCTTGAGTCCATAGATGGATTTTCTTAATTTGTAGACCATATTCTTTGGGTCTCCTGATACAAAGTTTTCTGGTTGCACCATATAAATCATCTCATTAATGTCTCCATTGAGAAATACAGTCTTAACATCCATCTGATGTAACTCAATATCATAATGAGCAACAAGTTCCATGATTGTTCTGAAAGAGTCTTTCGATGAAACCGGAGAGAAAGTCTTTGTATAATCAATGCCTTCCTACCCACTCAGCATTTGATTTACTTCAAATCGCACTTGGGAGTCATCTCTGGTAATGAGACTCTGATGGTGCGGTCATTCGTTGGCACTCTTCGCGGAGTCGCCTTCGATTGGTATCGTCGCCTCAAGCCAGGAAGCATAAACAGTTGGGACGACATGGAGACGAAGTTCCTTACAAATTTCTTCGACGACGACGACACCGAGATCTCTATGGAGCCGATCACCAATGAATTCATCCTCCAGACATGCCACAACAACCTTTCGCTGGACGTGTTGGAAGCAATGTTGCACCTTCTGGCAATAGGACAAGTTCCCAAACCTTATTGTCTTGCATAGACTTGTACTCTTCATTCATGACATTAATCCACTGTTGAGAGTTAGAACTTTTCATGGCCTGAGAGAAGTTGATTGGATCATCTTTCAACATTCCACTACTTTCCTCATGTTCTTGAAGAAATACAATATAATCATCCGAAATAGCATTTCTCCTTTCTCTTGTGGATCTCCTTAATGACACTGGTTCTTGAGGTTATTGAGTTTGTTCTTCTGGAACAGGGAGTTGTTCAACATTGTCATCTTAAGGTTCCAGATTTACTTCTTGAGCAACAACAGGTATAGGAACCTGAATATTATCAAAAGTAATTGTATGAATTGGATCTGAAGCCAATTCCTCCTCAAAAGCAATGTCTCTGACCTTATTTCTCCCCTCAAACTCAACATCCTCAAAGAATGTTGCTGTTCCCGTCTCAAAAATATTCCTTAGTGTGGCATCATAAAACTTATAGCCCCTAGAGCGTTCAGAGTACCCAATAAAGTAGCTGCTAACTGTTTTGGAGTCTAATTTCTTTTTATTTGACCTATAAGGCCTTGTCTCAGCTAGACATCCCCAAATATGTAAATGCTTTAAACTGGGTTTTCGACCAGTCCAAAGCTCATAAGGTGTTTTAGCAACTGCTTTACTTGGTACTCTATTCAGAATGTAAGCTGCTGTCTTTAGTGCTTCTCCCCAGAGAGACTCTGGTAAAGAGACTCTGGTAAAGAAGAATGAGCAATCATACTTCTTACCATATCCTTAAGAGTCATGTTTCTTCTTTCAGCTACACCATTCATGCTAGGTGAACCCGACATGGTGTACTATGGGATGATATCGTATTCCTCTAGGTATCTAGCAAATGGTCCTGGACGTTGTTCACCTGAACCATCATATCTACCGTAGTACTCACCACCACGATCAGATCTAACGGTTTTAATTCTTATGTTGAGTTGATTCTTAACTTCAGCTTTATAGGCTTTGAACATGTCCAGAGACTCAGATTTTTTATGAATAAGATATAGGTACCCATAACGTGAGTAATCGTCTATGAATGATATAAAATATTGTTGACCATTCCAGGATTCTGTAGGGAATGGCCCACAAATATCCGTATGTATCAATTCTAAGTTATCCGAAGATCTGTTGGTACCTAATCTCTTAACTTTAGTTTGTTTTCCCTTGATACATTCAATACATACGTCGAAGTCCGAAAAATCAAGGGAATCCAAAATGCCATTAGACACAAGACACTCAACTCTATCTTTTGAGATATGACACAAGCGCTTATGCCATAATGTCGTCGAATTTTCCTTATTTAATTTACGCTTAGTACCACGTGATTCCACATGCAAGGATTCATTATAAAAAGCAATTGTATCGAGCAAATATAGGTTGTCATAAGTACTCAAGTAACCAGTTCCCACAACATTTGAATTAAAAGATAAACTGAATTGACTGTTTCCAAATAAACAAGAATAACCTCACTTGTTCCCTAACAACAACCTAAAGTGCCCAATAAGAACCAGTTCCTAACAACAACCTAAAGTGCCCAATTGCTTCCACATCTACCGATTGTCCGTCGCCCACAAAGATGTGTCTTTCAACATCACTTGGCTTTCGGTAGCTCAGGCAACCCTGCATAGAAACACTTATGTGAGTAGTAGCACCATAGTCTAACCACCAAGTGTTTCTAAGTACTGAAGCTAAATTAACCTCAGAACAGACCAAAGTAAGGAACGTACCCTTATTATCACGCCAGGCGTGATATTTTGTACAGTCCTTCTTTACATGTCCAGGCTTCTTACAGAAGAAACAACCCTGATTATCCTTATGTTGTTTCTTCTCAACTGGACCCTTAGCAGCTTCCTTATCATTCTTCCTTTTCTTGCCCTTATCCTTAGAGGCAT